GATATTGATAACTGGTATCGATATTGATAACTGATGTTAATATTAATAACTGGTATTGATATTGATTACTGATATTGATAACTGGTATTGATATTGATACCTGATATTGATAACTGGTATTGATATTGATAACTGATGTTAATATTAATAACTGGTATTGATATTGATTACTGATATTGATAACTACTATTGATATTGATAACTGATATTGATATTGATGTCTGAAATTGATATTGATAACTGGTCTTGCTATTAATAACCAGTATCGGTATTGATAACTTATATTGATATTGATAACTGATATTGATATTGAAAACTGGTATTGATATTAATAACTTGTATTGATATTGATAACTGATATTATTGTTAATGATTGATACTAATATAACAAGCTGACAAACTGATATTGGTATTAATAATGGGCAATGATATCGATAACTGGTATTGATGATCAAGTATCTGGATAACTGGTATTGACATTGATGAATAATATTAATGTTAATAGCTGGTATTGATAACGGATATTGATCATAATTGATATTAATATTAATAACTGATATTGATATTAATAGCAAGTATTGATTGTAACAAGTCATACAGATGATTGCTATTGATATTAAAAACTGGTATTGATGATATTGATATCTGAAATTGATATCAATAACTGATATTGATATTAATATCTGTTATTGATAATAGATGTTGCTATCAATAACTGATATTCATACTGATCCTTTATATTGATGTTGATCGTTTTCTTGGGCTAATGTTACAGTGTGCGTGCTTGCGTGTCTGTGTGTGTGTCAGTGAACAGACGCGATGCTAGTGTGTTTGTGATGCTCTGTCTCCCTCTAGTGGCAGATCTCAAACAAACTTGTTTCTGCTAACAGACCTGTGTGTTTGTTTGATCATGAAGGACATTTTGATGTTATTTAACAACAGTCTTAGAGCCATAATCTACTTGCCAATTGTTTCATTTCAGTCTGAAGTATCATCAGTTTCTGACAATCGTTATGTAATGAAGTATACTGTAGTTTAAACTGGAATATATAAATCCAATGGATAAATGTGCCTTGACTGTAGGTGATGTTGATCGCCCGATTCCCAGGTTCGATTCCCAATGGTGGAATGTAAACGTTGGCTTCAGGTTAATGTTAAAAACTAATTTCGGATAAAAACATCTAGGAAACAATATGCAAATTCAGATCTCCCATTTTTACATTCCTGCTTTGCGTTGAGCAGAGGTGAACGTGCGTCTACTGAAGTAACCTGAAGCTGTTTTACAGCCTTGTTTGGTTGAGTTTTTTTAACAGAATGTGTGTTTTCTCAGACTGGAATGTTTTTCTTTTAATCATGTTTGTTTGTTGTTGTTTAGTTATACATTCTTACAATAAATTTTGTGTACATCTACTGTTTGTACAACGCATACTGTTTATATATAAATTATTTTTATTTTTACTTTTGTGCAGAATATTGTAAAGATTTATGCTGAATGATTTTGCTACACACAACAAAAATTAACAAAAATTAAGATTTACATTCAATTTACTATGCAATACTTCACTTTAAACTATTAAATATTTTTAGAAAGTCACTTTTTACAAATCTAATCAAGATTAAAAGTTTTTGAAAGAAAGATTAAGGTCACATAATGCAGTTCATAAGCATAAATAAATCACAAAATCTGGAGAAAAAGCTAACTCACGGATATTTTAGACAGTGTATATGTGTATGTATATATATACACACACACACACACATATATATATATATATATATATATATACATACATACATATATTTATACATACATATACACACACAAACACACACACACACACACACACACACACACACACACATATATATATATATATATACATACATACATACATACATTTATACATACATATACACACACACATATGTGTGTATAATTGTGTGTGTGTGTGCATATATACACACATATATATATACATATATATACATACACAAACACACACACATATATATATAAATATATATATACATACCTACGTATAATATTATAGCTATAACATAACTTTTCAAAAGTAGTTTATAATTAAATATTGTGTTTTTCAGTGATCCTTCAATACTGCAGTCCTCAGAGTCACATGATACCTCAGAAATCACTGATTATTATGATTGCTATTATTTACATTATCGTCATTAATCTTATATAATTAAAAAATAATAATAACAATAATAACGTCTTAATAATAAAACAAATTAAGACTGGAGTAATTTCATTTGAAAATACATACAAGAATGCAGTTATTTTAATTTTT